AAGAAAATAAACGAAAATGAAGAATGTATAGAAACTGGTCTTTTTGAAGCTGTTGGAAGAGGTGTTGGGAGAGGTTTGGATAAGCTTGTTGAAATAACAGGAGGGTTGTCAGAAAAACAATTAGTACATAGATGCTCAATTTTGTAAATAATCGTATCAAAGAAAAGATAATCTATTTTTTATTCACCACAACCTTTTTAAAAATAATGGAACAAAAATTATACTTAGATAATAAATAGCTACCTGCATGTTATCCTTACTGGAATGTTAAAAAGCTCATTGAAGTCCGGGTCGATTGTTCTGACATTTTAATTTATACTCAGGGATTAAGTCTTGATATTCACATTGCAGAATTAAGGCTATATTAAACGCACATTTGAATATCATTGGTGGCATCATGTAATGGAACGTATTTAACTTTATACCTAAAAGCATAACTTTTGGAGTAGAGTAAGATCGGACTGGACTTTTCACATCCCTACTTGCGTACTATTCTTTTTTTTTTTTTTTATATTAAATATCCATTACTATATTTATTATCTCCAATTTTTTTTTCTATATCGATATAATATTGTTTTAATTTGTGAATTATTTCCAATTGTGTTTATATAATCATCTCAACAATCACTTTCCCGACGACTTCTTATATGACTAGCTAACTCGCCGGTGAATTATAATTTACAGTTCAAGATATTTTAATATGAAAATACACGTATAATGACTAAAAGAATATTTTTTAGTATAAACTATGTTATGTTATTTATATTAACTATATACAGATGCTAATGCGCTATTGGAAACTTCGTTTCTGCCCAATACTCACTCATCGGCTTAGGATATTTTTAATTTTTATTAAGAAAACCCATATTAACGTTTTTATATATTTGATAAATTTATAGCGCGATTTAATACCAATATTTATATTTAGAAAATACAACAGATCCTGAAGAAATTTTCCATATAATCATTCCAAAAGAATAGCTTTGTAAATGTGTTTCCATGCAAAAGTTCAGGAATCATATATGATACAGCTCCATAAACTCCTTTATATTCTGTTTTTAATGCTTTACTAACAGCAGTAGCAAAACTTAACACCAATACAAGCATTATATAAATTATTTCGAAATATATTTCAATCACGATGAATAAGATTATGCTCATGAATTATTTAAATTTAAGCGCAATATAAGATAATAAATAATTTTTTGGTTTTTTCTCCCATTTCATTTGCGCAGCTTTATGAAGGTATTGACGTAAAGATCCCATTTCATCATATTGCATAACTAAAATATAATCTCATGTGACTTCATCTTTCGATATTCCATAATATTGTAAAAATGTTGGATTCTTAGTTTCAATATTGAATATAATTTTAACTTTTAAATTTACAAATATTCAATTAACACCCGAATTATAATATTTGTTTAAACTAGAGATTAGGACCGGTATAAAATTTACTTCCGGGTTACCCGTTGTTACAACCGTGGGAGAGACTTGGCTAATTTGAGGTAAAATTGGCTCAGGGTTGTAAACATAGGTTATCGAGATGAATGTTCTTTAGGGGGTTCGGAATTAATGATAGCGGGTTATTAAGGAATGTATTTATTTATTTAGTCGGAGCAAAAGAAATTCTCTCTGTGTGTCCTTTATTAGTTTAGTTGTTGTATTTATACTTTTTAAGATCAAGTGGTTGATCTGTGGTCTCAGACCAATATCGATGGTCACAGGCCAAGATCCTTTCATTATGATTGGCTAATTTTTGTAGATCATTTTGTGACGTACAAAATTTGATTGGCTAATAGAAAATAAGTTCAAAGTAAAAAATTCTTTAATAAAAGAATATTAAAATTATAAATTTTTATTCATAATGATAATATTTAATGCATGGATCCCAATAGTTATTGTCAATTGTACATCTGGTTAAACTTAATTTTAAAAAATAACATCTTTAAACTTAACAATTTTTTGACACAATTACATATGTAGATAACCTTTATTGATTAAATTGCTTGCTAACTACTTTACAGAAACCTATATATTTTGATAAATATATTTACAGTATGGGTTTTTCTAGGCATCTCTGGCCAGAGATATATAACTTATATATCTCTGGCTTATTAGCCAATTAAAACGAATAAAGGTTACGTGACCTATTTTCGAATTGTTGGTGAATCGGAAAATTTCGTGCAACCCGAAATCTGACCTAACTTTCCGAACATGAAAAATCGGTCAATCAAATTCAATAATACAAAAAAAAGTTTGTTTTTTAAATTTTTTTTATTAAAAAATATTATTTTTTATTGGTTACTAAAAATACTACCAAAAAAAATTGCAAAAACAAATACAAAAAAAAAATATCAAAAATTGCCAAGAACACACTAGAGAATTCACCACACAACACCAAAGGTGTTTAAGAAAAACAAACACCAAAAAATTCATCACAGTTCTGAAAGTGCCCAAGGACAAATGCTGGAGAATTCACCACACAATGCCAAAGGTGTTCAAGAACAAACACAAGAGAATTCATCATAGTGCTGAAAGTGCCCAAGAACAAATGCCGAAGAATTCATCACACAATGCCAAAGGTGTTTAAGAACAAACACCAGAGAATTCATCAAAGTACCGAAAGTGCCAAAGAACAAACACCGGAGAATTTACCACATAATACCGAAGGTGTTCAAGAACAAACACCAGAGAATTCATCACAGTGCTGAAAGTGCCCAAGGACAAATGCCAGAGAATTCACCACATAACACTGAAGGTGTTCAAGAACAAACACTAGAGAATTCATCAAAGTACCGAAAGTGCCCAAGAACAAATATTAAAGAATTCACCACATAATGCCGAAGGTGTTCAAGAAGCAATTCCTGAATGTGTGCCAGGTTTATAGTGCAGATTTCCTTAACTACAAATGATTTCAATATCAGGTATAACGTAATACAATGATCAAGAAAATTCAAAACAAACATTCGTTTTGTCAAAATCGCTATTTCTCTAAATTCTGAATAAGAAAACACTATTAGTGCTCTAACAAAAAGTTTTCGTTAGACAATTTTACTTTATTTATTCTTCCTTCTAACTTCTAATCCAAACTTTAACACTAATATAAACGAACTTTAAAGAATTTTTGCTGCATCACGAACCTGGACATATTCAAGAATTGCGTTCAAGAACAAACACCAGAGAATTCATCACAGTGCCAAAAGTGCCCAAGGACAAATGCCAGAGAATTCACCACACAATGCCGAGAACAAACACCAGAGAATTCATCATAGCGCTGAAAGTGCCAAAGGACAAATGCTGGAGAATTCACCACACAACGCTGAAGGTGTCAAGAACAAACATCAGAGAATTCATCACAGTGCCCAAGGACAAATGCCAGAGAATTTACTACACAACGCCGAAGGTATTCAAGAACACCAGAAAATTCATCACAGTGCCAAGAACAAATGCTGAAGAATTCACCACACAACACCGAAGGTATTCAAGAACACTAGAGAATTCATCACAGTGCCAAGGACAAATGCCGGAGAATTCACTACACAACTCCGAAGGTATTCAAGAACACCAGAGAATTTATCACAGTGCTCGAGAACAAACTCCGGAAAATTCACCACACAATACCAAAGGTATTCAAGAATATCAGAGAATTCATCACAGTGTCCGAGGACAAACACCAGAGAATTCACCACACAATGCCGAAGATATGGGCAGCCATCAATAGAAATCAAGCAAATCAACATTTGAAAAAAAATTAATTCCTTAACTTTCATAGCTCATATCTCAATGAATTTTAAAGCTATCTTAAAGATTTAGTATTCAAAAGAAAGCTTAGATCGTAAGCTTTCTTTTGAATATTAAATTATTAAGATAGCTTTAAAATTCATTAAGATATGAGCTGTGAAAGTTAAGGAATTAATTTTTTTTCAAATGTTGATTTGCTTGATTTCTATTAACGGCTGCCCATATAACAAAATTTTATATAAAGCACAAAATACGCCCCTAGTAAAAACTTTGTGAACTCAGACTAATTTTTCTAAGAATTTGATAGTATATAGTATGAAATCTTATCTTTATAATTTTAAAATTTTAGAACTCATACTATTTAAGAAAAGTTACCTTTATATATTATTGAAATTTGTTAGATTAATCCAAATTTTGTTAGGTTATACAAAAAAAAAAGTTTCTAGAGGTTCTATTTGTTTCTATAATAAATAAATATCCAATTAGATTTGATGTAAATTCTTGCAAGTAGTTTTATAACGAGTTTATAATCTCAAAGTATTTAATATATAAGACTAATACTTTTAGTTCAGTTTTAAACCAAAGCATATATATATATATATATATAACAATACTTGCTCTTATTTTGGTCTCGGTATTTAATTTCAACTTTTGTTCTGTTGCATTACAATTCAACCACTCAGCTTATATAATTGTCAATTTCTATTTCAGATTCAAAACTATAGTCAAACCTTTCTAAGTGCATACTCTTGGGATCATATTTTAATAACATATATATAAAAAATACAGTAAAACCTTTATAAGTGTATATTTCTAGAACCAAGCTTTAACAATGTGCACTAGTGATCAATAAGAAAAAGTGCATTTATAGAGATCATATATTTAGAGAGGATATGTGCTTATAGATAGTATACATATAAAGGTTTTACTATAATAAAAAAAAGTATATTTTGAAGATCAAGTAATATTTGGGCTAGTATTTAAATATACATTTAGAGAGGATATACATTTATAGAGGTTACATTTAGAGAGGTCTGACTGTAACTACCAGGGAGTACTAACAAAGTGAAAAGAGATTACAGGTAAAAAAATTTCATATACCCATATATACATTTTATTTCAAATACTAGTGACTTTTTTGAGTTTTTAGTATAGGTAATAGCTTTTTTATATACAAAATTGAAATGCCTTCATTTATAAGTATTTTATATTCATCTTTATTTTACACTGGCTATAGTAAGTATTGTAAAAGATCATATACAAGACCTGGGTCTTGTTTTTTTATTTTTATTTTTATTTTTTTTAAGTAAAGATCTTGGTCTCAATACTTTATTAAATTTTAGCATATATTACTTTATACAATATTACTGCATAAACAAGTAATTTAATTAATTGCATTTGAAACTTAGAGCTATATACTTAACTATCTATATCTAAGATTTACCTTATTCTGATTTCACCTATACAGATATACTTAAGTATCTATAGTCTTTCTAATTTACTCTGATTTAAATCTACAAGATATAATTACAAAATTAGCCCAGATTTAGGGTCTTGTGTACCCACTCACAATTACCTTTCCACAGTTGCTGAGGCTTCTACTTGCAGTTGTAACCATACTGTTAGATCCATTAATAGACGTCCTGGGTTCCTAATCCTGTAGTATAGAATATTATCTGCAGTTCCCTAACTTCACATGATTCCATTTAACTATTTTTGCCCTTGAAAGATTCGTTTAAACTCCAGTACCAGTTTTCTATCTTCTTCCTAAACTTTACTTTTTGAATTCTTCAAACTACTAAACCAGTTAGCCTGGGAGGGTTGGTCTGCTCAGCTTATAGCTTCTTTCTCTTGTACATACTTCCAGAATACAAGTTTTTTTTCTCCAGTATGACTCCAGTGGCCAGGTTGGTAGAACTCCAAACCTATAAGGGTTTTGTCATCTAAATCTTTCAATTTCCAGTTTAGTCTATTTTTATTTCACAGTACTGTCGAAAGTCCTTACTACCTCCTTATTCGGGTCTTGCCAAGCTAGTTTCAAATCTTCTAGTTCTCTCTCCAGTCACACTCCTCTAAGTGCATTCCATCAGAACCATAGTGAAAAAAATTAAAATTTTGCACTTAGAGTGTGTTTGCATTTATAGAGAGTAAAATATATAGAATTTTTATAAGTTGGGGCCAATCTAGATCGTGTATTTAGAGAGGTTTTACATAGTGCTTGCACTTAGGGGGATATGACTGTATCAGTTTTATGTGTTCTGAAAGTCTTATTGTAGATTTGCACTACCTATACCAGTTTGCATTCCTCTGTATAACTTATTGTTCCACAGATGCTTCCAGAAACTTCCAGTACACAAGTGTATTGGTGTGACTCGAGTTACAGGTATTTTACTCAACTAATCGATGAAGATCTGTTACTATAGCACCAGTAGTTAAATTTGAAAATGTCTCCAGTAGAATTCGAACTCTGTACCTTAGCTAGAAATTACTTGGGGAGCAACAACCAACCACTTCACTAAGTCACCACACCCTTAAGACCTGGGTCTTGTATATAGCTAAGCATTCTAAAGTATATATATACTTTGATTTATAGAGGATTAGGGATCTATTATATAATCTTTTATTATAAATTTTATTTATATAATTATTTAGCCTTATTTTTTAAATAATTATTGAGTTGACATTTTGAATTTTATTTAGGTTTAAATTTAAAATTTATTTAAGATGCCTCTAGTACATGGCAAAATCAAACTTTTTTTTGATACTCAAATATATATAATAGGCTAACTTTTAAATCAATACAGCAATACTATATTTTATAGTTATTGTATTACTGTATTGCTATATTGATTAAAAGTCAAATCATCATATATATTTTAGTGTCAAAAAAAAGAATGATTTTACCAAGTACTAGATATCTGAATTACAAAATTTTAATTGCAATTACACTATGTGCCTAGGACTTGTATATAATTTTTATATATAAACTATCTTTATTTTTAATAAATAAGAATGATGATAATTATAATTATTATTCTTCTAAGAGTTATTTTTATTACAATAATCATTATCATTATTAGAAGCAAGCTTGTAATAAATGATAATTGCTTTGTAATAAAATTTAAATTAATAAATTATAAATAAAAATAAATATAAAAATTTTTTAATAATTACTAT